GAGCCGGATTTCACTTTAGGTAAACTACTTCCTTAAGAAACTTGAATTCGAGGTGTTAACGCCCCAATATCACCAAATGGCGTCGGTTTAGCACGAAACTTGGCACACACGACCTCCTAGGCACGAGAGACTTGTGGGAGAAGACGGGGCTCGAATCGGGTTTTAAGTTTGGGAGTTAGAGTCGGATTTCGCTTTAGAAAAACTAGTTCCTTAAGAAACTTGAATTCGAAGCGTTAATGCTCCAAAATCACCAAACGACGTCGGTTTAGCACGTAACTTGGCACACGCGACCGCCTAGGCACGAGAGACTTGTGGGAGAAGACGGGACTCGAATCGGATTCCCGATTTGGGAGTTAGAGTCGGATTTCGGTCTAGTCAAAATTATTTACTAAACTATCTTTCTAATTATATAGTAGTCAATTTTTTTTTATATTTTTCTGTAATTAAAATATTAACACTATTATATGGTTATTAATTATTTCTATCTTGTTTTTTTCAGATATTTCCTGAGTAGCAGTTTGCTTCTTGTGGAATGCGGTCGTATAAAAATTATGACCAACTTTTGTTTTTGTAACCCAGGAAAGAATCAAGACGAAAACTTTTGGTTTTGATTTTGATTTATGTTATTTAAATTTGTGAACAACATTATGTATGTAGTGGCATAATTTTTGTAGTGGCATAATTTTTATTGTTATGAATTTTTATTTATGTATTGTTATGAATGGAACAACATTATGAATTTTCATCATGTGCCAACTTTTGTTTATGTATGTATTTATATTATTATGCAATTATCGGGTTTTTTTTAGTTATTTTTCATTTAATACAGGTTATTTTCATATTTTTAATAATTTTAATACAAGGTTTTTTTTTAATTTTTTTTTTGAGACGACAGAACACCCCGTCTCAAAAAGAAAATTGAACTAGGCTTTTTGCGACAGCACCTATACTGTCGCAAAAGGTAGGGAATTGAATTGAGGAATAAGGCCTTTAGCGACGGTATCAAGCCATGGAATGTAATTGAAAATAAAACCTTTAGCGACGGCTCAGGTTGCCGTCGGCAATAGTTATCAGCTACGACACTTTTAGCGACGACATTATTGCCGTCTCAAATAACCCATTTTAGCGACGGAAATACTGTACCGTCGCAAAAACTCAGATTTTCTTCCATTATTGGCGACAGAACATTGCCGTCGCAAAAAAAAGCAGTCTCCCGTTGCAAAAAACAATGGCGACGGCACTTACCGTCGCTAAAGCCCTTTTGCAACCCCCTTTGTCGCGATCCCCACGTGCCGTCGCAAAAAGCCAAATTACCGTCGCAAAAAGTATTAGAGACGGCGTATGGACCATTTGCGACGGCGTTTTGCCGTCGCAAAAAACACTTTTTTTTTTATAGTGATGTGGACAGGTCCAAACTGCAAACTAAATGGTCAAAAACAAATCTGCGAGCACCCCTACTTTTCAGTATGTCTTTTTTGTAAAAAGTTAAAAAATTAACTAAAATAATTAGTTCAAAAAACAAATCATAATAAACAGTTATATCTATGAATTATCTTTTTTATACAAATAGGGTTCAATAAATAATACATTTAAAACAATAACATAATTTGCAACACATAATTTTATAATTTAAAACATAATATAATTCACCTTTTACTAAATTACAATTCTGAATACAGATTGAACCAATTGGCTACTCAATTGTTTTATCAAATTTCCCACTCTCCACTTTCTACTGAAATAAACTGCATGTGTGGGCCCTTTTTGCCGCACGTTCAGGAACACCTAGGTTGCGAAAACGTTTTCAAGGGAATTCGGATCCTCGGCCGCCCTACCCGGCAGCCCCCAAAACGACGTCGTTTTGGGGGTTTTTTTTTTTTTCTTTTTTTCTTTTTTTCTTTTTTTCTTCTTCGTTGTTGCTTTCTCAAAAAAAAAAAAAAATCAGCTTTATTCCTGCAAAAATATGAAGCAATAGAAAGAGAGAGAGAGACAGAAAAAAAAGGGCTGAGAAGGAGGAGCAGGATGTCGCCGGCCCGCCCCTTCCCACCCCCAACGCGCCACTGCCGCCGCATTTGAAGAAATAAGTTGTGCTGAAGCAGAGTATTGATAGGGCTTTAGCCCAATTTGCACATTCCAAAAGAAGATACTTGGAAATGATCCAGATTGATTGGAAACAGAACACATAATTCAAAACAGAAAGACAATTAATATATCCAGATTAGCAAATTGATTAAATCAAACAAACTTTCACTATCTTCGATTCTGAAATTGATTCCTCCCAAACAAATTTATGAAATTCAATGACAGATATATGAATGTAGAGAGAGAGAGAAAGAGAGAGAGAGAGACCTGATCAACCATCTTGTGCTTGAGGATGGTGCTGCGATCGAGGACTTTCACGGCGACACTCTCACCACTCTCCGTGCACTGAGCGAACTTCACCTTCGCGAGGTTACCTTCACCGATCGTCCTCCCCACTTCGTACTTCCCAACCTTTCTCACCACCATCTCTCTCTCTCTCTCTCTCTCTCTCTCTCGGAAGAAGCTTTACCCTTAGTTGATTGTATAATAAGTAAGCAAATTGGTGTTTGTCTCCTCAGAATCGAAGAGAGATAATAGAGAATTTTGAGCTCCAGCCTAACAACAGAGAAAAGGAAAGCTTGTTTGGCAGGCGAGAAAAAAAAAAAGCAAGGCCAAGTTGTCTGGCTTTTTTTCTCGGTCGGAATTCCTGGAAAATTTGTATGCGTTTTTGTCTTTGTTTACTATTTTTTGTTTGATTCTGAAGAATATATTTACCAAAAAAAATAAAAGAAGAAGAATATAAGAAGAAAGGATTATTATTATTATTATTATTTTTTTTTTTGAAATTACTAACCAAAACGTTTTTAACCGATGGATTGAAACACTTAAGGAGATCACTCCAGACTTCTAACTCTAGAGGATCCTGGCGCGTTTCGACACTCCTCGGTTTCATCTTTATTCCTGAAGCTTAAAAATTTTAAATCGCGCAAACATCTAAAAGCTCAAACCGGGTTTGATTCTCAAACACCGACCTATCACAAACACTCCAGGTTCTGAAAAAGAGAAAAACAAGTAGTCCGAAAGGCTCGCTCAAATTGGGTCCGAGACCTGAGACATCACACCACCCAATCTCCACTATTTTATATGTAATTTAGTGGTTTTCTACTCCGTCTTCTGCTATATATGGATATATTGATATCTGAGTTGCATGCCTCTATTTTCATGAGTGTTTGTTAGTGCATAGACAAATTAGGCACACCACTTGTTCACTACTAGGCAGACCAAAAAATGGGTTGTACTCTGTATTTGTTTATGCTAAAAAATTACTCTGATTTTTAATTTATTTTTTCTTAGGAATTTGTTTGTTATACATCAATATTTCTTTGATCAGTTTATAGCTCACTTTTTTATCAGTACATGTATTACCCAAATGAAGATAAGCTAGCGCTATTATGTATGACACGCACCAATTTAATCACCAAACCGAAACACAAAATTTTGAAGTCCATTGAACCTAAAAATGTCTATTACTAAACATTATCTTTTCTTTTACTAGACAAACATTTTGAGGTCATATACTGTGTAATTTTATACTCTTATGCTTTTCATATAATGTTCCTCACTCTACCGTGTGTTTATAACTATTGTACACTTTCAGGTTATGAGTCTTAGGGAGAGGTTTTAACCACTTGTTCATAAGTTTTGGGAGTAGCAGGACCAAGGCTTAGAGTAGATATAGTGTACTTTGTATATTTGTTAACATAGTCTGGCTCCAAGTTGTAACCAGACAGCTTTAAACGCTTAATGGCCTTTCTGATATAAATAAATAGAAGTTGCGATGCATGTTTTAAAAATATAAATATTTAGGTACCCTTTTGTTTTATTTCTGCCTGCATTATTAATCTGGTAATTTTAGATAATGGCCTTTGGTAACCTTAGTTGCTGGTCGGTTTGTGTACCAAGGTTGGGTAGAGAAGGAAATCAGAAAATTTGAATAGAGTGATGTTCGAAATCGTGGGTTTGCCTAAGTAGTCATGGATCTGGGAACCCAATCATAGAAAAGATTCTCTTTAAGCGAACCGGCCTATCCTTTGTATGGGGCTTACACAGTATTCAGATGGACAGAGCAAGCGAGGGAGAGGTATCCATTGGAAGGGAATGGGAAGATTGGGTTTATCGATGGCCTCTGACACAGGGGCATATCAGTCCCTTTACTCTAATGGGGCTATAGGGCTATTTCATTTGATCCAAGTGACATACACATACTGTTCCAGAAATTAAGTCACCAAGTAACATGTATCCTACCACTTCCTACTAAGTGGTGTCTAAATGTATAACTTGATCGAATCTTCTCATTTTTCAAGTTGAATGGTCTCCAAATGCTATCTGGACTGGACTGATCAAAAGCTCTTTCAATTGGCTAGAATCTGTTACTTAGATAATATTTAACTATACATTTTGACTTTGTTAAAACATTGATCCAATCCCATTGGTGCTATCCTACTAAAACAGAACAGCAATAGATAATGTGAATTCTTCCCCAAGTCACTTCAATACATAGTTCCTTTGATATCAGACCATTTTTGCTAAGACTAATGACAATAAAAACGTTGCCTAGGAGCATGGTTCTCTTGATGTAAAGAAAGTCATCAGTTTCCTTGATTCATATTACCGTCGATTCTTAGTGGTCCTTAAACTATCATGTTACTTTAGCATGTGCAACTCAAACTACCATGTTTTTTTGTGGGTGCTTTAATAGATGGAAGTTGTGTTTGGACCTTGATTGTTGTTGTCTGGAGACAATGGTTATTGTTCATTGATGATTTGCTTATTGCTCAAAGCCCATGAGCATAGCTCTTCTTGGTGTAGATGAGTTTCATTTATCTGGAAAATTAAGAAAAATGGAGTGATAGCTACTAATTTTATCTTGATAGTACGCCGTGACTCCACACTCTACAAAGCCCACAATAAAATAAAAATTTTCACAATATGCAATAATGATTTGTATACTAGAATTGACATCTTCACAAAGCCCACAAGCTAAGGTAAGTAATTAAGCCCATTATTCATACAAGATGAAAACCCAATGTTTGGTACAATCTGAAACGACAATCATAATTAACATGATATATTGCTTTCTTTCAAAAGCAATTTTGATTTTTAGATGAGGTTTTTTTGTGAGATTTGGATGTGCAATCCATTTGGAAATGACAAAGATGATCTTCGAACTATGTCCCCTCCTCCAGTTATTTTCCACCTGAAAATTCCACACATATTCAATATTTTTGTTAAAACATTTCTCTTATGCAGATTCTAGGAAAACCATGCGTGAAAATGGGATCAAAACCACTTTGATCAAATCTTTCAATCCTTAAATCGCCGGTACTGTTTTTCTGTGTTAGTTAACTAATTGCGTTAGCTCAATTTGACACCCTTCAATCCTTGCTAATGCAAATATTGATAATTTATCTCCCTATTGGGGGGATCGTCGTTTGATTGTTTAAATCTTCCCAATTATGAGGCTCTTTGTCAATAAGTTGGTTAGTTGTTGGGCCTTTTATTGTTATTGGGCTATGATTATCCGAATCTAATTGTCTTCATATTGTAAATAATCTCTTATTTATGAAAACAAATAAAAGAAAAGAATTTTTGTATTGGTTAAAAGAAGACAGAATGTTACTGTGTTTCCAAAATAAATATGATATGCATTTTTTCTTTTGATTTTTATTAGGTAAAAAAAGCTACAAAGGATTGATAAAAGCAACAATCCTCCTTGTGTGTGTTCATAGAAGCCATATGCCCACTGGGGAGTTGGACATGAGGGCCTAGGTTGGCTAGACAACATGGAGTTGGTGGACACTTACTCAAGATGGACTTTAGTCATAGCATGATTCTTGACAAGGAGCTGATGGTCTAAAATTAACCAGTAAGAGCCTTAACCTAAACATCATCCAATAATCACAAAACCAAATAAAAATAAAAATAAAAGGCCACCCTCAATTGTATATATTTTTTCTATCACATACTTGAAACTCTATTCAATTTATCATAGGTATTATTAAAGTGATTATCCATATCTTAAGAGTTTAATTAGTTACTTTTTACTTTGGTGAACTTTTCAAGGGGAATATTAAAAAAGATTTGGCTTGTCTCCAGTTGAAAGTTGAATTGGACCAGATAGTTGAAGTCTCTAACCAGTAAGAGTTTATAAAACATGGCCCAATTGAATTTTTTCAAAGATTCTTACTAGTAAAATTCTTCTGTTTAATGACTGGAGACAAGCTATTCCCTATTTAAAAAAATAGGGTGTATGAAAAATAATACGTGTACCTTCATTACTATGCAATTATATTTGTTACTCACCAATTTTTTTTATTTTTTTATTGTTTATTTTTGAAATTTTCCCATATTTTTGCCCTCAAATGACATCAAAAAGGGTGAAAATGGAACAATATAATATCCATGTTGTTCCAAACAAGGTATTTAAATCTATATTAAGCAATCTTACCTGTACTTTGTGACCAAATGATGGAGAAAAATGGCAGTTTGTAGCTTAGCAAAGTCAGCTCCAACACACAGTCTCACACCCCCACCAAAAGCCATGAAATTCTTAGACCCAGCATGCAATTCTTGTCCCTAATTGTTTCAATCAATTTATTAAAAAGAATGAAAACTAGATTCAGTGACATTTTAGTTATGGACAGTCCAATCTGATCACGTAATGAGCCTACATGATTGGATTGCACCGTTCAATCCATATACTAGACTGGAGAGAATTCAATTTGTATATATGTTTATGTCTTACCTCCCACCGCCATGGATTGAATGCAAGGGGGTCCTTATGCATATCAGGATCCAAATGAGTCGACAATGTAGAGACCATAACAAGCCAACCTTCTGGAATTATATATCCTGCAAAACTTACATGTTCAATAGGTGCTTAAATACTCCATTCCCTTTTGCACTTCTTATTTTCTTAATTTTGGCAAATCCATTTTATGTATCATGTTTGATGACTTAAAATTTTTAATCTTCATTTCTTTCTATTGTTTTTCTTCAAATATAACTCGAAACAAAATCCTAATTCCCAGAATTTTAGGGGACATTCACCAAAACTCCCTCATTATAAGTTTATACTAGTATAATAATAACAATAACAATAATAATAATAAAATTAAAATTACCTCATAGTTCCAATTCTCAAATATTTCGCAGATCATCTTTCTACTAAAATACCCCATAGCATATTCAACGACCTTTACTTTTTGAAACATTTGAATACATAAAAACTCATAACTTTTTCTTTTTTATGATGAGTAAAATAAATTTAAAATATTTAAGAAATTCCATTGTGTTTGTTGTCTTCAAACAGTGAAATTTCACTATCTTTTATGTTTCAGACAATGAAATCAATTGAGGGCTAAAAATTGAAAATTTGAAGGCAAATTTCAAAAAATCAATACTCAATTTCGAAATGACAGCTAAAAATTTTAAAACTAGGTGCAATGTTCAATTATTGACTTGTTTCCTCAAAATAGATCAAAACATATTTCTTCTTTTTTTCTTTTTTTGTCCTCTCAAAGTAAAGAAAATTCTATGTTTTATAGCTAAAACAGAAAAATTGATGGAACAAAATCACCACCACCACCACCAATTGTTATCATGACAACACAAAAATTCTAGCACCAGTAGACAACCATAGCCACCAATTAGTCTTGGGACAGTGAAATATCACTATATCTTACATGCCCACTATCTTTGGATTGTGGAATCTCAAACTGAGAGTTTGAGAAAAAATTCAAAAGTAAATATTTCAATTCAATTTTTTAAATTTCCTCGACACAAATTTCTTTCCTCAAAAGAAATAAAATAAAAATTTCTATTTTATGGCTGAAAAGGCAAAATTGATGGCCATAACCACCACCACTACCAATCACAACCACAACAACACAAATTCTATCAGTGAAAAACAACCACAACCTAAGCCATCATGGACAACTTGTGCCTAATGTGTCGTATGTTTAGTTTTTTTCTTTTACTCATCATGAATGCACTTACATGAATGGAGCTTCTCTATCACGGAGCTTATTGTGTTTAATAGGGTCAAGAGCTGACAGAGAATACCAAAGAGGGTGATGAGGCCTTGACCCATAGTGCTATTCTCACCTTAATAAGGTCACAAAGCACCTCTTGGTTAGGTTGAGCCCCATTAAAGACACATTCATTTCGGAGTTTCCAAACGGACCAGAGAACAGCGAAAGGAATAGCCAACCAAATTTTCTTTTCCATTTTTTTCAGCCTGCAGCCAGACCACCAGTGCATAAGATCTGGCACAGAACCAGGTAACACCCACTTGAGACCCCACCATCGTACAATGTTGGACCAAATCAGCCAAACAAAGGGGCAGAACAGGAGGATATGATTCACAGATTCAGGTGAATCATATAGGGTCAAGAGCCTTTGATTTTTGATTTTTTAATTTTGATTTTTTTTTTTTTTTTGGAACCAATTGATTGATAGATAAAAATCTTTTGTTTGACACTAGGCTCCTAAAGTTCATACTATCATTTTCAACATGCATTAGTAGAACCATCATGAGCACATTTTACAATGAAACCATGTTTGATCAGATGTTTAAGCTTAGTAGTTCCCGATCTCATCTTACACAGCTAGTTGGACCTTCATCTGCAACCATGGGCACTAGTAGCTCTCATCTTCTTCTTTGGCAGAGAAAATTGATATAGTTGACCGTTTAAGGCATATGGGCAATTCAAAACACGAAAAGTGGAACTAGACTTCCAAAACTAAAAGCCCAAGAATCTCATCTATGAAGCACTTAAGCAGGAGTGCAACTCATGCAGATTTATGCTAAATGAGGAATTGCAAATTCCTACAAATTTTATGTGATAATAACCTTTTATTATTTAACTGGCGTTTTTTTTTTTTTTTAATGGTTACTTTTCTTAAACTATATGTATGAATGGCCAACCATGCCATACAAAAATGTGGGAGGGATTTTGTTTTCTTCAACAATGCTATGAATCCATTACAAATTATTCAAAAACAAAATATCTAGAATTTGAAATGTGTGAATTAAATTCATTTTTGTTGTTATTCATACCACACAAAGTTTAAATCTACAACATATATTCAAATTGTGGAATACTTTTCCTTTTTCTTTTTCATTTTCCTTTTTTTTCTTTTTTTTTCTTTTTTTGTGTGTGGTTTATAATATTTCTACTTTTTTCCTTTCTTAAAATGTGCAGCGATGCAATTTTAGGCACGAGAATATAGGTGTCACAATTGGTTTGTTTATGATCTCCCATAAGTTGCAATTCAAACTGAACTCATGTTATTCTCAACTTCTTTAAGGACAAAAAGGTTTTGGAATTTTGGTTAAATAGTGCAGTGATTATAATAAAATATCGTATTTAGGCCCAAAATATGTTGCAGGTAATGTGCAAATTAGTTTACAATTCATATAAAAATTGTAATTTTGAACTTACCCTTCAACTCAACATCTTTAGTCACTCTTCTAAGAATCATTGGTGCAATATTGGCCAAGCGAACTGTTTCATTGATAACCTATTTCATACACAAAAGGAAGAACATTTTCACAATGAAAAAAAAAAAACAAAAAATCAAAACAAAAAACAAAAACAAAAAAACAAAAGTAAGAAAAGATTAATTCAATTGCCCACCATATGCGTAAAAGTCATCGATTTATATTCCTCCCATGTCATTTCAGACTCCTCGTTCTCTCTGCTTCTTAGAATTGTCTCGTGCTCTTGCTGTCATGCAATTACTAAATCACTATTAAAAGGCAAAAACAAAAGAACAAGCCAAAGTATGGAAAATGTTGATTTGATCATTTCAAATGTTTTGAATTACAAACCGTGAGTTCTGCAAGCGCCGAAGGATGCTCAGCGAGAAACTTTGTGGCAAATGTGACTGCTGTAGAGGTAGTCTCATAAGTAGCAAAGAGAAGCACAAAGACCAAGTCCATAGCAATTTCCTCCGTTAGAAATGTTCCTTCCTTCTTCACTTCCTCAAGTAAATGATCCAAAAAATCATGCTGGGGCACTTGCGATTGTTTCCTCTCTTTGAAGGCATCCTTAATCACCTTTACTACATTTTTACGTCCCTATATATTTGAATTTAACTAGTCAAACAATTGTTGCTAATTTTTTTACGAGCAATGCTAAGGTGCCATTTGGTAACACTTACATTTTTTAATTTTCTGTTTATATTTACAAAAATTTAAAAAACTCAAATAAAAACTTGTTTGGTAAATTTTTTATTTATAAATCAGTGGTCTCAGTTTGTAAATTTGGCCATAATGTTTCTATTTTGAGTTTTCAGTTGAATACTTTTCCTTTTTCTTTTTCATTTTCCTTGGTCTCAAAAAAAATGTTTCTATTTTGAGTTTTCAGTTTTTTTTTTTTTTACCACCCAACACTAGCTACCACCCGCCACCATTTTCAAACAAATCTGCGAGCACCCCTACTTTTCAGTATGTCTTTTTTGTAAAAAGTTAAAAAATTAACTAAAATAATTAGTTCAAAAAACAAATCATAATAAACAGTTATATCTATGAATTATCTTTTTTATACAAATAGGGTTCAATAAATAATACATTTAAAACAATAACATAATTTGCAACACATAATTTTATAATTTAAAACATAATATAATTCACCTTTTACTAAATTACAATTCTGAATACAGATTGAACCAATTCGCTACTCAATTGTTTCGCCGTCGCCACCACCACCACCCACCACCTATCTGCCATCCACCCGCCACCACTGACCACCCGCCACTACCATCTCCGCCACCACCACTCACCACTCACTTGCCACCACCATCCTCCACCACCACCACCACTACCATCACCCGCCACCCACTACCCATCCACCACCCAGTACCACCCACCATCCACCACACCCACTCGCTACCACTTACCACCTACCACCGTCACCCACTCACCCACCACCACTACCACCCGTCACCTACCTGCTACCACCCCACCGTCACCGTCACCCACCCACCATCACCACCTGCCACCACCACCACTACCACCACCCACCACCGTCACCCATCCACCCGCCACCACCCACCGTCACCACTTTCCACCACCGTCTTCCGCTGCTACTTGGCACCACTTGTCACTTCTCACTCTTTTTTATATTTTTAAAGTTTTTTAAATATTTTGTCAATTACCAAACGCGTTTGTAGTTTAGGTTTTTCTAAAAATAAATAAAAATCAGTTTATAAAATTTTTGTAAATATAAACTGAAAACGTAAACGTTACCAAACAGGCCCTAAGTATTCGGAAAAATATTTTAAATTTGAGATGCGAGTTTTTTTTTATCAACAAAGTAAAAATTTCATTAAAAACATGAAATTAAAGATATAGGAAGATGAAATGCATCGAAAGAGGTTCAGACAGTACAAAATACTCTTACTACTACTGCTCGCACTCACACAACCGACCCCTCAGCCTCACGAATTTTTTTACCAAAAAATCCCCCAAAACAAAAACAAATAGTTAAGAAGCACTTAACTCAAAAAACAAAAAAACAAGAACCCCAAAGTCCAACCACACTAAAGCAAAGAAAAACCCAAAAGCAGGACTCTTGATTATTTTATATTAACCACAGCATTAACGCCTACTAATCCAAAACATCAAAACCGAGACACATGCCTAAAGAACTCCTTGTTGTTCCACTCCTGACCCTCCCGCCGGCCTTCTCCTACGCCTGACATCTCCATCGGGCTTCACCCACTTTATGGCCAGAAAATTGAAACGTCCACGGCCGGAACTCACACGCCGGAACACTGTTCCCTTTGCAATACATTACCTATGCTTGACACTTCTGCCGAAACTTCACCTACGCTTGACATTTTCGCCGCTGGACTTCACCCACTCCATGGCTAAAGCTTGCTTCCAATATCGAGACATCCACAGCGAAAACACCTTTTGGCCGAACACTCACACCCACTTCCATGGCCGATCTAACAAACACTACAAGGTCGAAAACACCTCCTCCACAAGCCGAAACACCACCTCCCACGGAGACAAAGCTTCTAAGAACCACCAACACCAATACCTTTCATGGCCAAAGAAAAATCCATGGCTGAAAGACCCAAGATCCACCCCAAGAACAACTCCCTCTAGAATGAAGTCGCCAAACCCCATAACTACATCAGAATGCCTGAGCCGAACAACCTCTTCTGAGCCGAACGAAACGTCGACTTCCATAGATCTGAATAGAGTTCACCCCTCAAACTCCCACTCTCAAAGGAGTACCCGAATGAAGCTCCTAAACAAATCTGGATCATTCCTTTTTTTGGCCCAACGCCGACCTCCGTAGATCTGAATGGAATCCACCACTCAAACTCCCCCACGCATAGGAGCGCCCGAATGAAATTCCTAAACAAATCCAACCCTTCCATATTCAAGGCGCCTTCCATGGTCGAAACCCTCCAAGACTGAAACCCACCCCTTAACACACCACTGATTCAAATTTTGAACACTTCTTTTTTCTTTTCTTTTTTTGGGTAAATAAAAATTGTCATCTTATTTTCTAGGTAACCAAATGGAACACAAAAAATAATATGTAAATTTAATTATAAAAATTTGATCATCCTAGCATTAATCTTGTATGTTTGCTTGTGCCTACATTTATGTGTGTGGATTATGAATATGGTACCTGCATACAAGCATAGTAAGCTGTTCCGGGAATATTCAAAGGAAATGAGATAAGCCCATTCAAGAAAGCTTTGTAGTTCGCTCGCAATTTCTTCAAGCCCTCTTTGTCATCATAGCTAAACAATTTCTTGGCAAAATACTCAAAAATCATCTGCAAACCACCGAAGGGTACTTTTCTTAGCATGATGATATGGTTGATTTTTAAGATACCAACAAAATTTCTTATGTAGAATAAACAAAATAAATTGACATGAGAAGGAACTAAATATTTAAACCTGAGGGTGATAGGAAAGCTTGGTTTTGAAATACACAAATTGACACTCACCTTCCTAGTACTTTTTTTTTTCGGCAAAGAAAGAAAAAAAGAAGGAATATACATTAATTAGAGAGAGAGTCCAAAAGCTAACACCCAATGCAATGCGTTAAACATGTACAACTGAAGAACGGTTAGCAAGAAGCCAACCAACAATACCAAAACTTTGGTTTCTGACACTATATTAGCACAGGAAAAGACATTAAACTATGTTCAAATTGGAGAAAATAAAAAGAGTGAACAAATTTTTTCAGTTAGCATATTTGATCACTTTTTAATGTTATGGATTTTTTTGTATAAGGTGATATAGTAGACTCCAACAACCGGAGAATAAAGTCTTTTGGACTTGTTTTGCTTCTTCTCAATTCTTTTCTTGTTATAAGTAAGAGTAATTTTATTAGGTATTACCCACAACAATGATCTAGTGGAAACTAGGAAACTAAAATTACCTCTGCAATTCCATCCTTGACATCGACGTTGCCATGGCTAGCCCATGAGTGCATAGACCTACTAGTATGTCCATCCATTTCGTGAAGCAGCGTTTCTTTTAAGTTTTCACGGCCAGTGAGCTTCAAAATGAGGTTCTTGAGATACTTATGGAACAACCCATGATATTGAAGCAGACTTTGATCTCCAAGAATCTTGAGGAAGCTCTCTGTGTAATAGCACTGGAAATATTTTCCTTCTTGTTGGAAGATGTAGTAATTAATCTCAGGATCAGTTGATACTACTATTTGCTGACCTACTAGACTAGTTCGAAACAGTGCCCCATATCTGAAACCCATTCAAGATAAATTAACATACAATTATGAATCACTTTGATCCATTCATATTTGTCTAGAAGGAGAAGAGAAACTAAAAAATTTATATATATATACCTTTCAGTTTTTCTTTTTAAATATATATATATATATATATATGCTACAAATTATGCATGTATGGGTTGATGCTATCTTTGATTTGTTGCTGTCTTTCTGGTTCTAGATTCCTTTTTTTGCACTTAGGTTGAATCTTCACCAGCCTTTCATTTCTTGGGAACTACTTCTATATGATTTGACTTGCCTTCTTGTGCCAACTTAATTGAGATGAGATACTTTAGCTTTGATGTAGTTTGCATTTACCCTTTCATTTATTGATGTATGTTTGTGTTATGTTATAACTTTTGGTTGACAACAATAAAATCTTCTACTTTGTTGACCAAAAAATTATGCATGCATGCATGGTGTCCGTAAAGTTGGTTGTGGTGGTAGCGGTAAGGGGAGCAACAATTGGTAATTTACATTGTATAGTTGCAAATTCTCCAATTGTGTTGCTGCCACCAGTTAATTTGGTTTTGTTTTAGTTCTTTGTTTTCATTTTTTGGTGTTTTCAAAAAACAAAATAATTAAAAGTTCAAAAATATTGATCTTTTTTATTTTGTGCCAGAATAATTTTTGAAAATCCAAAAAGAAATTTTTGGTATTACTAAAAAATTGGTTGTTTTTAGAAAAATTTCCCGACAATAGTTCATCAAACGATTTTAGATCTGAAAAATAAAAACAAGAAACACAATTAAACAAAAAACTAATCTCCTTCCAAAAACATTGAAATTTATGTAATTTGAACATTTCCCCATATCATCTTACCTTGCCGTTCTCTTGTTGAAGAATGGTGGGACATCACACTTAGTGTGAGGGGCAAAGAACTGTATTGTCTCCCCAATAATTGGGAATCCCATGGAACCAGGAGGTAGTCTCCCCTTCCCCTTAGGGTTTCCCCATTTATGCACCCAATGGGTAATCCATATCACTACTAAAGATATTAAGCACAAAGCAATAATCCACATCCTTCCTCACAATCAATGGTAAAGGATGCTTAGAAGGAGACTACTTAAATAGAAAACTTAGCCAAGATAAACGACAAATTCTCTAACCCAACTCACTATTACACTCTCTAGCATTAATTTAACTTTCATCTCTATCGGCGTAATTTTCGTTATGATGAAAAATAAAAAATGAACTCTTGCATATATCAAATGAAGGTTTTATTTACATTATGATTGCATGTAAGTCAAACAAGCCATACCAAAAAAAAAAAAATTAAAAAAATAATGTTTATCTTATGTCACAATCAGGCATTTCTATACTGTATTGCAGAAGTTGACATTTTTGTTGTATAGGAATATATAAAAATAGCAAAAGGCTTAAGAAATCGATAATGTTGATTAGATGTTTTGAAATTATGCATTCTCTTTCTCTTAAGAAACTATTAAGTAATAAGTACATTTATTTGGTTGTTAGATGCTGACATACAAAAGAAGTTTATATTTTTCGTGGGACTTATCTCAGTATTTTTGCTGAATCAGTGTGTATTTATGTACAACTGTTGACAGGTCATTGGTTTTTTCAATGGCATCTGATATTGATAATATTTTTTATTTTTTAGGGTAAATTATGTAAATATTCCCTATATTTTATATGATGTGTCAATTTAGTCCTTATAGTTTCAATTTGTTCGATTTTGCCCCTTAATTTAACGGATTGTCATTTTAGTTCAATAAATAACGGTTGTTAAATTGACACATTGTGAAAAATACAAGGACCAAATTGACACATTGTTTAACTTTCCGTTAAATTAACTTAACAACCGTTATTTATTGAACTAAAATGACACAATCCGTTAAATTAAGAGGCAAAATCGAACAAATTAAAACTACATGGACTAAATTGACACATCGTGTAAAATACAGGAATTATTTGCATAATTTTTCCCATTTTTTATTTTTTTTCATAGTGTAGAGTAAAGCCTAATAATGTATTGCTGAGGTTTTAATTACCATTAGCGTAATATTAGACAAACTAAAATAAATTTTATAACTTTTTTTTTTTTTTTTACCTTCTTCTTGTGATTAAAGTGGGTTATGTTTCAATTTTAAAATTTTATTATTATCTGATACATTAATTAATTTGAAAAAATTATTAATTTATATAACACTTTGTAGCCATTGTTATTATCATTGCAAGTTTTACCTTTGTAACAAAATAAATCCAGAATTTTAATTTTATCAATTTACATTTTAGTATTTTATTAATTACTTTCAATCTAAACTATTTACCTATTTTCCTCAAATAAAATAGATGCAAAATAATAGTTTAGCCATTAAACTCAATATATGTGTACATAACATGTCTTAAATACCATTTTTCATTAAGATTAATGACTAAAATATATTTTTTCTATTGGATTTTCTTAACGAAAATAGAAAATGGTTTAGATTGAAAATAATCGAAAAGAGTTTAAATCGATAAAATTAAAATTCAAGATTCATTTTGTAACCGTGGTCAATTTTTATTTTTATTTTTGTAATTTCTCCTAATTTTTATTACTATTCCATCAATGTTGTGGAATATAGACCCCGATAAAAATAATAATTAAAAAAATATTTTTAAAAAAAATGTTTGGGACCCTCAAAAAGTACCCACAATTCTACACACGATAATGCAACAAGCTATGTGTCAACTTTTGATTTCATACTCACTTAATAATGGTGGGCCCAATTCCTATGTCACGTCATTGTTGGTGAATTTATGAGTATAAATGTATAGGTCTCTAGCATTACTCTTAGAAAAAATGTTGTGGAGTATTGTATTCCGTCATCCCGGGCCAACATTTCGGGGTTTCTGTTGGAAAAATAGGAAATAATAAACAACGAAAATAAAGGGATTAGGCACACCTCTAACGCTCAAACCGAATCCATGGATCATATGGGTGAATCATGTGCCTCCTTTGATGTCTTCGAATAAATCCCAACAGCGGAGTGATACTACAATGCGTGCAACACCCACACAACTTACACTACAAAGGCCTGTGTTCTTCAATGGCAGAGAGATTGAAGGCACAAATATTTTTACGCACAATATTACGTTTTGCTTTCCTTTTTCATTCCCATAATAATACGTATATTGATAAGTTTAATACATAGAGACATGGGTAACCACCCATCCCTATCCTAGATAAGATGGGATGATATGCTATCATCATCTCTTAGAATAGTTCTGAATTTAAATTCAAATTAAATTTTGATGGGTCTTACATGGGTCATGGGTCATGCCACCATGGGCACCCAAACCCGGGTCCAAAACCCAACCTATTTACCAACATCTCTTACTCGCACATGGGTTGGCATAACGTTGTTGCATCTTTATCTCAATATGCCCAAATTAAAAGCAAACTCATACTGACCAATGGACTATGCAACTGCCGAGAACACCTGTATATGGGAACTCTATTCTAGAAACTCAAAAGAGCTAGTATAGAGACATCAACCCAAGGATAAAAATAGTGTCTCATATATCCTAGACCCATTCGATTACACCGGATCAAAAAAATCTCTAGTCCCTTAGAAGAGCATGTTTGACCCTCTCAAATCTTGCAATATATTCACACTTAATCTGCCTCTCATATAGAGCAATATGAGTTGCCGACGGTGAATATTCAACAGAGATATAATACTAGATGATCTTCCATTCGTCCTCATGCCATTAAGTTTAGGATTGATTGCTTTCCCAGTGATGTCCCTTAAGGTCGAATCATACATGACCTCAGACGACATACTAAAGCAGCAGAATATCAACCCCTTACCTTATGACGTAGTCAAAGGTCACAAAATGGTACAAAAGTGAAAGTCATATCAATAATGACACGTAAAACTCACACGGTTAGGAAACATGGATCTATTCTCTCACCTCATTACTCAGTCGCCAAGCATATTTAGTATGAATACATGCTACGGTAGAGTAACTCTTCCAAAGAGTGACATTATACTCGATATATCATACAAATCTTAGTCTAGTCGCTCTTAAGCGCACGAGTCACTTTCTAGTGCCTAACTCGAATTCTCTATTTACTTGCCTTCTAAGCGCCAAATGAGATCTCGCATCCGGTTAGTCAAAACAGGCAGAACATGGAAAGTGGGTACTAACATCCATGTTTGGTCTTTAAAATGACCTCATCTTGGCTGCAACCAAAGTGACATACATAATGGATAATTTTAAGCCTTTCTTAGCTCCAAAATAAAATAAACCACTAGTCTCATCCGTACTCGCTCCCAAAGCGCCAAGGGCGATTGTTTGTGTGAGTAAGCCAATCTTGCCTACTAACTTCGTCATCTACTAATCATTATGACACAAACCATGATAGCATCAATATCCGATAATCTCACAAAAACAAGCAATCGATTGAAAAATACAACCACAGCTTGCGCAATTCTAGATTCTAAACATATAGCTTATCAGCATCTCTTGCAATAAACATATAGAACGGAATCCACCATGCGTTTCTCACATGAAGTGATTCAAGATCACTACCTCTTGCACAACTACCTCCATAGAGACATTCTAGTGACCAATTTGCGCTCATTCAAGATGCGCCCAACTAGTGTATTGAATCTTACAAGGGACAAATTTATACACTACCAGTAAAGTGTAGTGGCCCGGGTCTAGGGCTGGTCCATTTTATTTCTCTCAATGGGACATGAGGTTGTCCCAGGTGTTTTTGGCTCTGTCAGGGTGGTTTGGACCCTAATCAGGCTTCAGGTTGGCTGCGGAGTAGCAACCTAAGTTTGCTTGGCAAGCTTCATCGCACCTATGACTAGGGCATTTACGGCCATAATGGAGGAGAGTTGAGGTCGGGCCCACTATAGGCCGCAACCAGCTGCGACCAAATGCGTGCTTCAGGTTTGTTGGTTGGGAGGAAAGTGTGTGGCCTGTGAGGGGCTGCGAGTTAGGCCACGGTGTGATAAGTCGCGCCCCATGGTAGAAATGATCGCATCTGTAACCAATGTAGTTGGCTGACTACGCTCACGGTCTATTTCATCATGTCCACGATGGTCAGTGTATAAAAGTCATCTGCGCATGGAAAACATCAGCTCTCTCTCTCTCTCTCTTCTCTCTTTCTCTCTCCACCATTTTTGGGTTTCTTCAACCGAAAAGCTTAGATTTCATCTGGTTACACTCATTTTCTATCCCTAGTACCATAGACCAAAACATAGAGAGTGGTGAGGGCGTCATTTTAATCTGAGCGGATCGTGTTTTCATCGCCGGTGGATTTTCGACTATTCTCCTCTTCATTTCAAGAGGTAAGGATTCTTGAGCTTCTTTTCAATGCCTTGATATAGATAGGTCTGTGGTAATTTTTATGGCATTAAAAACATGGTTTTTGTAATTAATTTTGTTAAAATCATGTGGGTTGGTTTGGGTTTTAGTTGATGAGTTATGGGTTGAGTTGGTGGTTGATTATGCGTTATTAATGATGTTTAGAGTATGGGGTTGGGAAGCTTGAGCTTCTAACCTAGAAATGGAGTAATGAAAATGTTGTTTGTGTAGTGTAGTATTGGTTTATGTTGAGCATATCTTAGGTGGGCGATTTTTTGTAAACAATATATAGGTAGTGATCAGTTGAGCATGTTGGGGATTTGGAGGTTTGAAAATTGATTTTCAAAACAAACAATTATTTTGTTAATTCTTTTATATACTAGGGAACTGAAATTTGATTTATATATACAGTTATTGTTGTTGTCAAATAATTGGCATCTAGAGTTCCGTTATTGGCCATCGGTAGAGGATGGTATTGATTATTGCTAAATAGATGCTATGAGTACTATTGTAGGATGAGCTATGTAATATAGAGCGATGTGCTGTGGTTGTAAGTAGACATTGTGAATAGACAATTCCACTGGTGGGTTATCGTGGATTACGTTGTTAGGAATGAATTAGAATGGTTGTGAATATTGTTCAGGTTATGAGTTTATCATTGGATAGATGATTTGAGTAAATGGTAGCCTTTAACTAGTTATGGTTTTGATGACTGGTAACTGACATGGTCTTTTGGAAATGTATGAAGTAAAGGAAAACCCGTTATTAAACGGTGGTGCA